AAAATGAAGCCGACCTTCTACTCGCCATGCTAGACGAAGCGAACGCCATTATCAATCTTCTAGACTTGCCAGATGGCGGCGCTTGTCCGTCCGCCGTTCATATTTTGGCCTCAACCTCTCTAATATAGAGGGGGTGCACGTGACGTCACACGACTCCGCTTACGAAGCGCGCGCCATATTGGTTGCTGTTGGTTTGGTTGTCGACCTCGATATTGTCATCTAACTCATATTTTTTTAATTTTAATTTTGATTTATTATGGTTCATTGCGTAGTACTTGGTTGCGATTCCAACCGCGGAAAGCATAAAGATCGGTCATTTTTTCGAATTCATACGGTAATTAAGCATCTCTGTGTGGATGTATTAGGCTGATGCGGGGTCTTTTTGCCTGAAATATGCTGATGAGATGCTTGAAATGCATGCTACTAAAAATTTGATTGTGGTTAATTAAAGACTAATTTTTTTTGTAAAAATTTAGTCTAGTTTGCTCCAGTCAGTCCCTGATATGATAAATATAACAATAATAAATTGGAGGGTTTATTAGGCTAATTAATTTAATCTTAATAATAGGTTGTTAGACTCGCACAACACAAAACCATGGGGACAAAAGAAAAATTTTGGTGGTAATTATAAATACAACTTAATCAACTTAAAATGTGACTAAATATAAAATTAAATTCGTCTTTACATAACGCAGTTTATGTTATGAGTAATGGAAGGTCTCACATGAAGATATATACCTTTCCTACAAGCAAAATTAAATCATTACGAACGGCTCATGATTAAATTTCACGATGAATAAATCCGCTTGTCAAATAATTATGAGCATCCAGTGATTTGTATGCCTTCATCTGATCCTGTGTGACAGCGTTAGTTGTTAAAACTAAATAATTTACTATGTCTCCATGTTCTATAGTGGGCCACGTGGTTAAATCGTTGGATGAAAAATCCGTTGGTTTCATTTCGTATGGATCCCATCCAATAAAAGAAATTTTCTTTTAAATTGGCTGCATAGCCAGGTAAGATGCCTTTCTTCCACGTTGACATAATAAGCGAATGAACAAGGTAACGTCAAATCAGCAACCAATATGGCGGACGATTGTTTTGGTGGGCGGAGCGATGACGTTATATCACGTGACTGCACCCCCTCTAAAATAGTAAAATAAAATATACTTCACATTTGAAATAAACACTTATTTTAACATTAAAAATGACCCAAATATATTTCAAAGAATATCCAAATACAGTAGAACCTCCATTATCCGGACCTCCATTATCCGGATTTTCGATTATCCGGATTGTTCAAAATAAACAAAAATTTTACGAATTTGCTGATTTGCACTTGGCGAATTACGACACTGTTTATGTACGTGATGGAATGCATAACTTTTTTTGTTTCAACAACGTCTCACCCGGCACAGTGGTCGTAAACTCTTAAATATATTTTACGTAGTAATAAAAATATAACTTGACATACGTACTTATAAATAATTTATATTCAAATTACATCATTTTTATGACCAAGGGCGGCGTAAGGCATGGATGACGTGGGTCACCGCCTATGCCTCGCGGTCCGAAGGGCCTCGCGCCTCGAAGGTTTACGCATTACTTAAAAGCCGTGAAAGCGACGAAAAAAATTTACTCGTCATAAAACGATAAATAGTTTGTCAAATTTTTATTCATAAAAATGCAGTTTCGACTGCTTTTTATTTTATAAAATCCGTCTTCTTGCGCCACCAAAGGGCCTTTTAAACAATAGATAGTCTGTTAGTGTTGGTCAGTAGTATCCCAAATTCGATACGAACGTTTGATTTCTTGAAAATTTGATCACGATTTAAATACAGCATTTGCTTTTAATATTACCGATATGTCATCGAACAGAAAACGTGTTGTATTATCATTAAAAGACAAATTAAAGTATTTGTTTCGATTATCCGGATTTTCCCGTATCCGGACTGCCTTCATCCCCAATTAGTCCGGATAATCGAGGTTCTACTGTATTTTATCTATACTAATATTATAAAGAGGTAATTGTTTGTAAGTTTGGATGTAGCGGGTAATCTCCGAAACTACTCATCCGATTTCAAAAATTCTTTCGCCAATATTTAGAATGGAACTTCGGGGTAGACATAGGCTGTATATTATTCCGTTAAACATTCATATAAATTAAAAGATATCATCTAGGATTAGGCTTTTATGTCCAACAGATGGCACTAACTCCGCGAATACGACGATCTAAGTTTGCTTTTGTGTTTAAGTTTCTGCGAAGACGAACTAAAGCAGATCATCATCTATCTATCTATATAAATAAAAATGTAATGTTCGTTTGTTCCTACCGATTCCTTTGAAATTTTGACACAACGCTGCATTCGAATACGCACGTGTTTTTATATAATATACGTGTCGAAATTTCCCCCACTGGGGGAGATGGACAAGATTAAGGCTTACCGTAAAGAACTCTGCTTCTATTTATACTGTTTTTTTGCGTTTTTAATTGTGTTTTAATAGCGTACGTCAAGAGAATGTACACTAAGAAGGGATTTTTCGAAAAATTACCCCCCACGGGGAAGTGTTACACATTTATAACTGTAGATACATTTTGAACCACAGCGCGTGGCGGGGTTTGCTAGTCAAATAATAAATTTACAATATATTCGTGACTTTTTAAATACTTCATTTTATCCTTTCAATGTTACAATTTATTAGAAAAAACAATTACCTAATATGTCAGTACAGTATTTACAATTGAGTTATTACTATTAATATTGCATTAAATCAATATTTAAATACGTATATTACGTAAAATAACTATATTTAATTACATTGTACAGTAAACAAAACATTTAATACACTGTGCTTTTATGATAAAATTAATGTTAACTTTAATAATTGCAAATATAAATTCTGTTCATTTGATTTTAATTTTACTGCTTGAAGATGTTTTCTGAGATTGGAAAGCGCTTATTATTTTAACAAGATTATTCACATTATTTTACAACCGATAAAGTTTATGTATTTTAATCGAATTTGCAAACACGTTCATCAAAAAGATAAATATTGATTAACTAGAATATTACTAACCTCATGCACTATCGATAACTGATGTTTTGTACTTATGCAGAAGACGAATGAATGTATATTATAGCATCAAATGTGAGCGTGTTTCCATAATATCTCCTATTATTACGTGTTTTTTTAGATAATTCTAACTGTACACAAATAAATGATATTCTGGAATCTGTGTTATCAAAAGAAATCGATCGTATTAATTTGATTACGTGATGGATTTTAGATTCATTGTCACGACATTATTAACAACATTGTTTTTCAATAAAAGTTATTAAATTATCTAAAACATTATTTAATTCACAATAAATATAGACAAAAAGAATTAGATTAAGTGACAAGTAATATGGCTACAGAATGTTTACAAAAAAGACTTTAAATCACGTGATTTTTTCCGTGGAAATTTAATTATAGGTTCAAGTGTGAGGCGAGATAAAAAAAAAATGTCGAAAAGCACTGGTATAGAGATTAGTTGCCGTCAAACGATTAAAGGAAGATGGCCGACGATACTCCTTCGACAAATGTCAGAGAGAGAAAAGGCGCTTTAAAGAAAGAAAATGTATCGCTGGTTAAAGATCATAAGTTTATTGCTACTCTTTTAAAACAACCGACTTTTTGCTGCCATTGTAAAGATTTTATTTGGTGAGTTCTTGTGTCCGATTGTTATTGTTAGTTATAGTTATTTTGTTTTCAGACGGAAACTCCTAAGAAAAACCCCCCCCAAAATGTGCTAAATTCAACAATGTAAATTAGTATATTTAGATTTTTATCAGTGACTGATCCGCGACGCGCGGACACGTAAATAGGATAATGCGGAGTTTCACTGATAAACAGATAAAAGCGTGACACGCCCGTCAACAGTGTGGTGTGGCTCCCGACGGCGACCTTCGTCGAAGCGAATTGTTTGGCATTCTTTAATAAACGATCGGCTCCTAAAGAGTATAAACTTTGTTTAATTATTTTAATGGAGATTTGATTGATTATATATTTTGTTTCCCGTTGATTTGAACCGTAAATTGTGTAACCCCGTCTTTTGTGTCGCGCGGTACGTTACACTTATACCTTTTTTTTAATATGTAAAAAACAATTTAGTTGTTTATTCTTCAGTGTTTACGTTTGTTTATATTTTCGATAAAAGTTTACTTTTAATACGTGGCATGTTTTTCCCCTAATTTTGCTTTCTTAAGAGACCTTACTTGTAGACGTGTCCTAAACGGATAGAAATTATACGCGTCGCCCCCAAAAATAAGAGCTATAAACGAAAACGCATCGGATTGCTTACCGACTACACGCGCCATTATCTTACCTTGTTTACATTGCGGAGTAGCACATTAGAGGCGGGCGCTTACAAATCGAGCTACGTGATCTCGCTTTTACGTCACTAGATCACGTGACATGACTGACGTGTTCCCGATTATTTATTTTTCTGGCGGAAGGATTCGTTCTTTCTGCTAGACTTTGGAGGCGTCACGTTATCGGAAATGACGTCACTTTTCTTATCACGTGATTTTTCTCTTCGAAAACAATTATAATAACTCCAAATTTAAGATTGTATTATTAAAAGCGATCTATTGTTTTTGTATAAAATTTAATACTTAATCTTTATAAAACGAGACGTCATTTCCGATCACGTGACGCCTCCAAAGTCTAGCAGAAAGAACGAATCCAGTGGTGCCTCGTATAACGTACGCCTCGAATAACGGACGCTGCGACCAACGGACTTTCTGTTTGGCCGTTACGTGAGGCGAACAATGGACTTTCTGCGAACAAGTGCGAATGATATTTCCACTCTTTTGCTGTTGTCAATGACAATCTGCTATTTTTAGAATATATTAGTATTATTAGTATATCTGAAGTACAGAGCTCCCGTTGTGATTCGGCTTGCTCCCTTGTTTATTACGTACAGTACATCACCTCTGTGCAGGGTATTTACATTTATTCAAGTGTTGTGCAAACCATGGCTTCTAAAAAAAACAGAAAGGTGATTTCAATTGAAACAAAGCAAGAAATCATCAGAAGGAGTGAAAGTGGGGTAAAACAGTGTGACCTTGTCAAACAGTTTGGTCTCAGCAAGACCACCATCAACACCATTTTAAGTAAGAAAGATGCCATCAAGTCAGCCAGGGTTGCCAAGGGAGTCTCCAAGATCTTCCATGTAAAGCGTAGGTCTTCACTCCATGACGAAATGGAAAGGCTGTTGATGGTTTGGATCAATGACAGGCAGGTGAGAGTTGATAGCTCTACCCAAGAAGTTATCTGTCAAAAAGCCAAACTCATCTATGATATGTTGAAGAAAAACACTCCTGAAACAAGCAGCAGCAGTGGCAATGAAGAAGAGGAGTTTAAAGCCAGCAGGGGGTGGTTTTTTAGGTTCAAGAAAAGGTGTGGAATCCACAGTGTCATCATGTATGGTGAGGATGGCAGTAATGACAAGGAAGAAGCAGAGAAGTTCTCTGTTGATTTTCAACAATTTCTCAAGAATGAAGGATACTGCCCGCAACAAGTTTTTAATGCTAACGAAACTGGTCTTTTCTGGAAGATGCCCAACAGGACCTTCATTACCAAGGAGGAAAAGACTTTGCCTGGACACAAGCCCATGAAGGACAGGCTGACACTCCTGTTTGCAGCCAATGCCAGCGGAGACCTGAAGATCAAACCCCTGTTGGTTTACCATTCTGAAAATCCCAGGATTTTCAAGAAGAACTGCATTGTCAAATCCAACCTGCCTGTCCATTGGAAGTCTAACCAACAAGCCTGGGTGACCCAGGTTGTCTTCAAGGAATGGATCCTGGAAACCTTTGCTCCTGCTGTAAAGAAATACCTGCTGGACAAAGAGCTGCCGCTCAAAGCCCTGCTGATACTGGACAATGCCCCTGGTCATCCAAAAGACCTGGAGGAGATCCTGGAAGAAAGCTATCCTTTCATCAAGGTGCAATATCTGCCAGAAAACACCACTGCCATCCTTCAGCCAATGGATCAGCAAGTCATTGCCAACTTCAAAAAACTGTACACCAGAGCTCTCTTCAGGATGGTGTTTGAAGAATGTCAGCTTTATGGAGACATGACTGTCCGAAAGTTCTGGAAAGAAAAATTTGATGTTCTTGTGGCAATCAGACTCATCCAGAAGGCCTGGGGAGAAGTCAAGCAGAAGACCCTCAATTCAGCCTGGAAGAGGCTTGTTCCTGAATGGATCCAGGAAGAACCAGCTGAGGATACAGAAGTGGTGCAGGAGATCATCTCGACGGCCCGAGAGTTGGAATTAGAGATGGAGGTGGAGGATGTGGAGGAGCTCATTGAAGAACACCAAGAAGAGCTGACAACTGAAGAGCTCCAAGCACTTATGGCCCAGGAACATGAAGCTCAAAGGGAAGCTTCATCTGACGAGGAGGAGGAGCAATTCAATCAACCAATTTCAACTGCTGCCATTAAGGACTTCCTTGTCAAATGGGGAGAGGTTCAGGAGTTTACCAGCGTTCACTATCCAAATACAGCTGAGGCCAACAGGATCAATGATCTCTACAATGACACCCTTGCCCGTCATTTCCGAAAGGTGTTGAAGAAGAGAGAGAAACAGACCACCTTGGACAAGTTTTTCAAGAAGCCAGTTGCCAAAAAACAAAGGATGGAACAAGAGGAGTTGATCCTGCAAGCTCCTCTTGTTCTGTATATGAATTAGAATTTCATATACAGCCAACAATTGCACAAATTCTTTGTGGAGCACGTAGTATAATTTGAGACCATTTTTCTTATAAGTCGAATATATCATCGGAAATTATGGCACGAACATTAATAAGCTATTACAACAGCTTATACTATAAAGACATTTGCTATTAACTTTTTAAAAGTTAAAAGTAAAGAAAATAAGTACAATATAGAGTATACTGTACATCTGTGCAATCAACTATATATTATACTGTCCTAATTAGGATAGTCCCTCCTTCCAAAGACTTTTCTACAATTACAACACAATTTGGTTTTCCATTAAGAACTTCAAATTGATTGCCCCGAAAAGGGTCTTTTGCATACAGAGCTGCAAGCACAACTTTCCTGAAACTAGTAATCTGGGATGTAAAGATTCACATTGGCAACGAGAAAGTGGTGCAATCAAACTCCCATGTCTGGATATTTGGCTTTAAAAACATGTTTACAGCAGGGAACATTTACGTGCACTTCCCACCCATGTGTTGGTGTGTGGATCAACTGGTTACAACTGGATCAACTGGTCTGGGATCAACAAAGTTACACCTGTGATTAACCGTCGAGTGATGAAAGCTTTCAGTTTGAAGACAATGCGCCTTCTGGCAATCACTGATAACTTTCGTCCCAGAAAGCATCCACTCCTTCCGGACAGCAAGTAATGTGTGGCTACATTGGTACCAGAAACGTGCTTCAATACTCTCTCTCGATATCCCAAGATCCACTAACCTTCGATGATTCTCCCTTTATTGAACTTTGCTGTCTGTTAATAAATACAGTTATTTGCTTAAGTTTATATACATATCTGCATGCTTAAATGTGTGTTTATATGCAACAAATTACAGAAAAAGGTATTGTATACTATATTTATATAGATACTTTGAGAATAAATGAATATTTTACATTTTCATTTAAAAATAATATACTTACTAAATAATAAACTATTTTACTGGATATTAATGGTATAGTTAAGTGCTTTGGACTTAATTAAATCCACTTTTTGAGTATTTTTTTCATAACTCACTTTATTAATTATTATAATTTAACTATATATGAAATAACATAATGCAGTAGACTAAGAAGGAACCGAATGGGTACAAAGTAAATATAAGTTTATGTGCAGTATTTTTATTTAATCTTTTAAATTAATCTAGTGAGCACGTGCAAAGAATTTTGCTTAGCAACAGTTAACCTATATACCTAACTTTAAAAATTCTTTTAGTAATATTTCAAATTGTAGACCTATAAATTTCCACTGTCGTTCAACTGTCCTTCATTAATTTCGAGTATGGTCTCTCAGTAAGTTGTGATAGAGTTTAGCATGTAGAGCAGAACTTACCTTTATAAGTATGTTCTTTCTTTGATAGAAACAATGAAAAGTAGAGAATAATTTCAATGCCTACATTTTTCATAAGTACAGTAGACATTTGCTAATCCGGCCTGTCTTTGCACAGAGGTGTGCTAGATTAAAGAGAGTAAAGGCATATGGGAAAGAATACCGTACATAGAAATGAAACCCAAGTGAACAGAATATGTCAAATGACTAAAGTTTACATGGATACAGATCAAACTGGAAGATATGCCGAATTATTAAGGAACGGATTAGAGTTTGTACTGTATTTAATATCTTTAGGTGATAGGATAAATTAAATATGCTAAACTTTTTTCACTGACGTATGACATTCCTACATTTATTCAAATGAAATTTAAATATGGAAACTGTTCTCAAATAATTAAACATATTTATTATTTTTAATTTTATTAAGGATTATGTATTTATTATTAAATAATTTAATTCATTTCAGGGGTTTAGGCAAGCAGGGATGTCAGTGTCAAGGTACGTACATTACAGTACATTAATTTTATAATGGATTTTAATTAATTAATTATGCTGCACTCGACTCAAAGATTTATCAAATAATTCACTTACCTTTCTATTTAATGTAACTGATTTTTATTATCAATCAAGCTACATAAACACAATTCAAATTATATTTTTATGAACCGTATTTCATATTAATATATATTATATAATTATATATTAAGTTACATAATGTATTTAAAGAAGGAAGAAGTTATATAGTTAAGAAGCTGAAATATCCTGTATATACAGGGTGTTTCACTCAGCTTCTTAACTATATCTGTTTAATGCTTGGCCAAATTTCACAGGCTTATAGAAGGGTTTCTTCCCTCTGTAAGCCTGAAAAAGTGTGAACATGATTCTGTAAACATGAAAAAAGGTTAATTAGCGAGTTATTAAGCATCCATAAGAAAAAAATCTAGAGGATTTAAATCGGAAAGGCGTGCAGGTCGAGTTATTTTAATTTCAACAAATAAGTGAGAAGTTTGTTGCTGCTTTGAAATGAGTTTATGAATCTTTTCCAAGGACAACAATTGCACTCGCATTATTTATTGATAACAGTCATTTTGTATTTTTTGCAAATCTCTGGCCCTGTCTCCATCCATCCATATGTGTCAATAACTAATATACTAGATCAGTAATATCCATACGAATCGTAACATACCATATATACAACCGAAAAAAAAAGGTAAATTGTTTATTAATAAAAACATTTGATTTACAAAATTAATTCTGTTGCGAGCTCCTATTGTGTATTTAATGTTATATTTACTCTCAAATACATAAAAAATATGCAAATATTGCACTTGTATTAATGTGGTATTTTGAAAGGAGGAAGTTAGTAACAGTTTTAAACTGCTAACTTTAATAATTTTCAATAAAACGTTTTCTTTTTATTTTATAATAAACTATATATCAATTTAAACAATATATTCAACCATTTAATCGTAAATATATCAAGATTGTATAACTGATAATGTTTATTATTGTTAAGGAACAAATGATACTAATCCGATTGAAAAAACCGATTGATTCAGTCGATTGTCTTTGCTACAATCGAATGAAAGATCGATTGTCTCCATCACTACTCTGTATATACAGGATTATTCAAAAGGTCTTAGACAAACTTTAAAGGAGAATCGGGAATACAAAAACAAGACATTTTACCTAGGAACATCCTCAAATGCTACCCGGAGTTTCTAGAAGTATAGGATCACGCAGAAAGTAGTATACATGAAGTACACAACATGTTTATTAAAATACTTGTGTGATGTTCTTAGGTAAAAATGGTTTGTTTTCATATTCTTGACATAACTTTAAATTTTGTCTAAGACTTTATGAATCTCCCTGTAAAGTTCGATCATAACTTGAATATGTGCAAATAGAGTAGCATTCAATAATTATAATGAGCCTCCATCCTCAGATAGAGAGTGTGATTGAGGTGAAAGAAGAGTGAACAGAGGTGAACAGAGAGAGAGAAAAGATTGAGGTGATTAGAGAGACTCTCTAATCACTTCAATCTTTCCTCTAACTCTCTGTTCATTTGTTTTTTATTTTATTGATGTAATAAAGTGTTTTTTCTGCACTTTAGTTTGCCTTTAACTTTTTTATTTTTAACTATTATTTCATTATTTACATAATGTTTTAGAGTAAATTAAATCTGAAATTACATATATAATATAACTTATGCTTGAATGCCATTTATTGTTATTATTTATAGCTTGCAGCTTTGTGGTTCATAAAAGGTGTCATGAATTGGTCAAGTTTACTTGTTCTGGAGTTGACAAAGGGGTAAATTCTGACATAATTATTACTTTTTTTAAATTTGTAAAGTGGTTAATGAATGTGTTTTATTTTGAAAAAGTAGCAACTTATTTTTCTTGTAATAGTTTTCTTATTTTAAAAAAAGGAAAGTAAAATACCATATAATGATAAACATTTTATAATATATTTCATAATGATCACACTATTTTAAAACTTTACAGAACCAAATTAGAAATATAATAAAAAATAACAGTTTGAATATTTATAATTATTTTAAAGTTTTTTATTATACCAGTGATTCCCAGAAGACTGGAGCTGTGGGTAATAGAGTATTGGAAGACAGGGGGACAAAAATTTATTTTGAAACAATATATATGTAAGAAATATAGAAATATATACACTAAAAGGAGGCAGTAGTCTGGAAAGGAAAACACTGGATTAGACAGATGACAGCGATTTAAAGTATGAGCATATCCTCAAGGAATCCAGGCCCAAACCTATTCATGTGACCATTATCTATTGTAAATTTTTATAGTACGATGGAATAATCTATTGTTTTTAGCCCTTTATATTGTTTAACACTTAGTCTATATCAAATAGACACATATATATGCGGGTTTATCACACCAGTGAACGAGATTAATTCACAAAATCTTTAATGATTATTTAACACCTTATTACTCTACAATAAATTACGGCTCATTTTAACATACAGAACACTCAAAATTTTACAGTTTAAGAAATATTTTAAATTAAATTGTTATTAATTATTGACCTTTTTTTTTAATTACAGGATGTCAGGACGAAACACAATTTTCTTGCCAATACTTTCTTCACTCCCACTTTCTGCGAACATTGTGGTTCTCTACTTTATGGCCTCATCTATCAAGGACTCAAATGCAAAGGTAAGCATTTATTTACAAATCTTTATAATTAATTGGCCAAAAATTCGAAGAAATGCATTATTTGAGGTTATAAAGTTTCATTGCATATAAATCTTTTCATTTTAAGATAATTATTTGAACTTGTTTTAATTGGAGCTTCTCTTTGTCATTGTGGAAGGTTGTAGAATTACTCATAACTACAGCTACTGATCTTCTTAATTAGCATTTATTAAATTTACTTTCATATAGAATAAATTAGCAGTTAATGAATATCTACACTTTTATTCTTAATTTTTTTAGAACAGTATTTTTGAATGCTGTTCACTAATGTTACATTGAAAATTCTTTCATTTATTTAATTAGTTCTTTCCCTCGCTGTAATTGATGTTCTTCCTGGAAACATAATCAATTAATTTAATATTTTTACAAGGTTTATGTTATATTTTCTATTATTTTGCAGCATGTAATATGATCGTCCATAAACGATGCCAAGAAAATGTTCCGAATCTTTGCGGATGTGATTATGCTGGAAAAGAGGGAAGGATAAAATTAACTGCTAAACCTGTATTGTTGATTCTTTGCGTTTTTTTCGTATATTACTTCTTCAAATACATAAAATAAATTCTTTAAAACAATGTCGTTGCCTAATACCATCAATTGAATTCGCTTTTTAAATGGTCAATTTGCATTAATTGTAATTTGAGGATTCGTATTAAAGTTTTTTTGTATAATCCAAATTAATACGAATTAAATGAATTAATAATTATGCAAATTTNATTGAAACAAGTTTCGAGAAGGACCACGTGTATCGACAGAAGGCGAGAAGAGAAAATTTACATACTTAAGTAATAATAGTTCACGAAAATAATAATTTTCGTGAACTATTATTACTTAAGTATGTAAAAATGTATTACATTTCCTGTTGTACGAGGGTTTTACCTAATTCTCGAACCGTGTCATAGTGAATCCGTGCTATAGAAGTGCCGTGTTATACGGGGGTTACCTGTATTTTGATTCCTTGGTGTAAAATACGTACACGATATATTCTTTCGGGCAGGTAAATTCATAAAATTCGCTTATTTAATATATAAGTCACTTTAATTAGCGTTTACTTAACTAAACATGCATATAACTATCGTCCTATGACACCAGGTGACCACTTTTAAAATGGCGTCAGATAAACGAAATATTACGAAATTTAGTAAAAATTGCGGTGTCGGTCAATCGGAAAATTCGTCGGAAAATACTCGACGAACGAGAGAAAGGATTTCTTCTAGTTTTGGGGGTGACGAGGTAAACATGACGTTCGATTATAGAAAATATAGCTCGTGGAGAATGGAAACCGAAGGCAGAGGGTGGTGCGGAGTATGGTAGGGAGTCTGTCGATCCAATCCGTCGTCACTCGGGGGATAGAAACGTAAAAAATGCAGATATTTAGCCTTAAAATTCAAAAAGAATCCATGACGTCAATCGCATTCGAATTCGTTACGGGCTTTCTAATCTCGCAACAATTGCCCTTTCTATGGAAATGCGTATTGTTGCAACACGATTTTGCGTCACTTTGCACGTTTTTCGCTTGCCGAACTGACGTGTGCGCTCTTTGCTCTGGTTTCTGCTGTGTTTTTTTGCCTTTTTTCCAGTGGCGTACCGTAGGGGGCGGTAGGGGAGGCCCGCCCCGGGCGGCACTTTTTAGGGGGCGGCAAAATTTCACAATAAATCCTGTAATAATAATATCTTGTAAAAATTTGAAACATCGTAATCCATACTTGCATCGCGCCTATAGTCCGGACAATTCGGGAATTGGCTCTCCGGGTGAACTAGTAACTTCTCCGTCCGAGGAATTCCTGCGAAACCTGTTGACCTTTTTTTTTATTTTTATTTTTTTTTTCTTTTGCTCGTACGATCCATTCGTATTTATGTACACCGCTAATATCCAATAGAGCAGTTTAAACAGGTCGCTGCACTGCCACCGAATTTTTCATTGCTTCTTCTGTGACAAAACTGAATTTTGGTCTTTTAAACTGAAATACCTAAATAAGGGGGGGTCGAAATTTTCCTCCGCCCCGGGCGGGTGACACCCACAGTACGCCAGTGCTTTTTTCAGTGTTCTTTGCTATCCGAACGTGGTTTTAAGAAGACTTTTGGACGCTGACATTACACCAAGTAAAATTTTAATTAGAATTTAGCTAGCTGTAAGATTTTATTTTCGTTTCGTTTAGTACAACTTTCGGAGACGACATCGGCCGACTCGGACTTTGCATATTTGCGTTTAAATCTGCCGACGCTTGTATTTATCGTTTCAATTGCCATCTGAAACTTCTTCTTCTTCGATGGTGTTTATATGGAGATTTTAGCTCAATGTAGGCTCTTTCTCCGAGTAGACTTGTGTATGATCGCTAGGCGACCGATTAGCCGGCTGTATCGAACAGCCATACGTACGCGCGGGAAATAAATGCCTTCCGGGAGGACTTTTATGGGGAACTGGCCTCCTATTCAGTCGTTATAGGCAAGGAGAAAACCCGGAAAACTCCAAGCAGCCAGCCTGTCCGACCGTGGCGCGAACCCACGACGAACCTCCCAGTCTTTAGGGTCTGGTCACCACTACGATGAGCGGCAACGGAGACCACTCGCCCACTGGTGGGGGC